CAGGTTTCAGAGCTCATCACAGCACAGAAACAGCTTTAGTGAAGGTTACAAATGATCTTCTTATGGCCTCTGACAGTGGACTCATCTCTGTGCTTGTCCTGCTAGACCTCAGTGCAGCGTTGTAGTGATTCAAAAAAATTCTATAATAAATATATAATAAAAATATATCATACACAACTTGTCATAGCAAAACAATTTTTGTGGATTTTGTTATAAGGGTTAATAAACATCTCAGTTCCAAAAATTCAGAATTTTCTGGCTATTTTTTGATGGGTTGGGTGTTACAGGGTTAATGATAGCACTAAATGTGACTGTAGAAAATTCTTTCACTTTCAAGCTTACATATTACATCTATATCTCTTATTCCCTGTCTAGTTCCACCCTTGTGCCATAAATTTTTTTCTTCTTTCGTTTTGAAGATGACACAAGTGAGAAGAAAAAAAGTAACATCAGAGCAGATAAAGTTGGGGAGTGGGGACGTGACAGATAAAAGGAACCACAGAGTACAGCAGAGGAGAACTTGCGCTGTCTTTCTGATCAGAGAAGTTGCCGTAAGTAGTTCAATACTGATCTGTTTTTTCATTGTATTCATCTGTTGCTTTCAGTGGAACTAAGCTTTCCTAGTTTCTGGTTAAACTCATTTGTAATATTCCTGAAATCAAAAAGATGTTGACATTTATTAGTGTTTCTATGTTGCAGGACTAAATGTTAAATCTATACAAACACAGATGAAAGAAAATATTAGTGTATACATTCTGTGTTTAACCCATCACACTTTTAGAGTTAAATAAATTAAAACTCCAAGCATGAAGTTGGAAAGGAATAGCAACATTTAGTTTTGCAAGATAAGAATACTATTATGATTGTTTGCAGTTTTGATTTGCTTCTCCGATTGAAAAGTATGTTGACTTACTGCTGGCTGCATCACACACACGGCTATGAAATAAATTCAAACAAGATATTTTGACTGACCAAATTTGATTCTTCTTACCCCATCCCACCAGGTGTCTATTGACAGCTTAATTTTAAAGGGATTTTTGTGTAATGTATTAATTATTCTTACAAAGTTAGTTGAGCCACATTAAAGCAGTTTAGACGAGTTGTTTCATCATAAACATAATATATGTTTCATTTTTTTCGTTGTTTTTTGTTGGCCTTTTTCTTTTTAGATTTTAGGAGTTTTTAAAAGACTCATCTGAATGTAAGCCAACAAATCATATCAACTCTGTGGCTAATGGCAAGGAGCCTAACAGCGTAAGAGGTGGGTTTTAATTAATTTCTATCCTTAAAGCCTTCAAAAAAATAAATAAAATAAAATAAAATAATGAAATGTTACATGTCATGAAATTGTAGTTTTTGTTATGTATAAACTCTGATGTGAAAATTACAGCTGTAAATTTAAGACACTATTATTATTAACTTTGCGTTTTGTATTTTAGGAGGAGTTTTTTAAAAGACCAGTTTGAATCCGAACCAATATATCTCAACGTCTAAGAGCACGTGACTGAGAACAGGTAAGGAGCCTAATTTTCAAAAGTGAAAGATTTTTTAATATAAAAATGGATTTTTACTATATTGCATGATGTTTGTAATGGTTAAAGTATAAAAATAAGACTTGTAAATGTGAAGAAAAATATCAGTGGCCACCGGCTTGGTTTACGTTTTCTTGTTTCAGCTCATTGGTTGTTTCTGAAACATGAACTGGTTGTTAATTACTTGTTTTCATATTGCTTTTTGTGCTACAGTGCAGCTAAACTCAGCTGGTTTTCTGTTTTTATGTCTGTTTAATTATGTCTTTTTTTATATGTCTGTTTAACGTACAAACTAGATGATGCTTTTCTAGTTAAAAATAGAGTTGAATTCTGTGTATTTTAATTTTTGAATACATATTTCATCTGCAGATCAGGGGCTGAAAGAACATCTTAACAACACACGAACCTGACTGCGCAGAAGCCACTATCTTTGTTCCTGAAAGAAGAAAAATTTAGATCTTTGTAGTAAATTTAATAACTGACGTATAACAATAATGTTTAAATATTTAAAACGAGAAGAGCCCAAAAAGCTTTCAGATGCTATTAAAAAAAAATGCAAACAATCAGAAACACAGACAGGGCCTCTCCCTGTTTATATAATTCCACTGGAAAAAAAAAAAGATTTCAATGTAGATGGATGCAAGAGTTTCACTTTTGGGAAAGAGTCCAGTAAACCTAATCGCACCATAATGGTTCTCGGAGCTACCGGTGCTGGGAAGACAACTCTCATCAACGGGATGATCAATTACATTTTAGGTGTTAAATGGGAGGATCCATATCGCTTTAAGTTAGTTGATGAGGGTGAGTTAACATCACAATCTGAGAGTCAGACCTCTGAAGTCACTGTGTACAAAATCAACCACCAGCAGGGATTTGAAATTGAGTTCTCTCTGACCATTGTGGACACTCCAGGCTTTGGAGATACAAGAGGCATAGAAAAAGACAGAGAGATCGTAGAGCAGCTACGTAATCTCTTCACTGCTCAGGGTGGTGTCAGTGAAATCGATGCTGTGTGTTTTGTAGCTCAGGCTGCTTTAGCACGACTCACACCAACACAGAAATATGTGTTTGATTCAGTGCTCTCAATCTTTGGCAAAGATGTGGCAGAAAACATCAGGGTTCTGGTGACATTTGCAGACGGTCAGCGACCTCCAGTTCTGGAGGCGATCAATGCTGCAGGAGTCCCATGTCCTAAATCAAAAGACGAGCTGCCGGTTCACTTCAAATTCAATAACTCAGCGCTCTTTGCAAACAACAAATCAGCTGTAGCAGAAAGCATAAGTGATGACGATGAAGAAGAAGGTGGCTTTGATAAGATGTTTTGGGAGATGGGGACAAAAAGCATGAAGAGGTTTTTTGCTGCTCTGAATAAAATAGAAACCAAAAGCTTGACACTGACACAGGAAGTCCTCAGAGAAAGAAAGCAGCTCGAGATTTCAGTTGAGAATCTGCAGGAGCAGGTGAAACTTGGGTTAGCCAAGCTTGAGGAGATAAAAGAGACGAGTGAAAAAATTAAAGAATATGAAGCAGAGATCAGCAGAAATGAGAACTTTGAATTTGAAGTTACTGTCAAAAAGCCTTTTCAGGAGGACATTTCTGGCTCTGGAAACTACATCACTAACTGTCAGCAGTGTCATGTCACCTGTCACTACCCTTGTGCCATACCAAATGATGCAGATAAAAGGGGCTGTGCAGCAATTGGATCAAATGGATATTGTACAGTGTGCTCAGGGAAATGTATTTGGAATGTACACTTTAACCAGAAGTACAAATGGGGCTATAAAGATGTTAAAGAAAAAGTAACAAAAAAAGATCTGCAAGAAAAATATCTGAAAGCCACAGGAGAAAAGATGACTGTTCAAGCACTGGTTGACAAACTGAATGCTGAGTATAAACGTTTGCAGGCTGACGTAGTGAAACTGATGGAGAGATCTTCCAAGTGTCTGAACAGACTCAAAGAGATAGCACTGAAGCCAAACCCTCTGTCCACTCCAGAGTACATCGACATGCTTATTGAAGGAGAGAAATCTGAGGGCAAAGAAGGCTGGAAGAGACGAGTTCAGTCTCTGATGTCCATGAAGGAAAAAGCAGAGACAATGGCTAAAATAGAGGAAGGAAAGAAACTCCTGCGTCATCAAAAATCACTTGATGTCAATCCTTAGCCAAATCCATGAAACGGCACATAGTCACAGGCTGTCAGATAATGATAGAGGGTAAAATCACTGCAGCAACCTCTGAATGATTTTAAAGTTTCACCACTTTTTGTATTTATGATTCTGAAAGTTTAGAAAGAATATGTACTTGACCTACTACAAGCAACTTCAAAGTTAAATAAAACATAATAAAATTCATTGTTTTTTTAATTTCCTGATCAACTGTATTTTCTTTTCTACTGGTCGACATGTCATTCTCATCTTCATGCTCATTTTAAAATTTATATGTTTTCTTTTTATTTATCTAAGGTTGAATCATTCAATTTAATCAAAAACAATTAATCATGTCCTTTCTAACCTTAACTCTTCAATGAATTTTCTGATTCTAAGATAAATAAAGTGGTTAATATGCTTTGGCTTATGAGTACTTCTTATTAAAAGATTTAAGTGAATGCATATATTTGAGCCTGTATAAAATCCAAAATAAATAAATTGTGATTCAATTTCTTCTTCTTCTTTAAAACAAATATGTATACTATATCATTCCACCTTGGAAAAACAATTGTTCAAAGATAATTAAAAGCAAACTATTGGCAAACATTCATGGCCATGATGAGTGAAAGTAAACTTCTGACTATATATCAAGGCCATCTTAAGTCATTGCCGTGGCAATAGGCAGACACATAAGCCATAGTGTTCGAACAGTTTGAGCCTCTTCAAGCTTTCTTAGTACAGAGTGTTAGAGTTGATTCTTTAAAGATTGTCATTTGTGCTAAGATATATATAACCATTGCTTGTATGTGTTTTGATAAAATGTTTCTTTCATATTAGGTTGCGTACTTAAGATGTAGGAAGCTGTCTTGTCGCTATAGGTTTCCATTGTACATTTAGAAACCACAAGCTTCTGGTTTTATAAGTTTAGCAGGACTGCTCACTTCTGCTTTTGTACATGTTGGTTCGTTGAAAGGTCACGCCATAAATGGAGTGACTGAAGATGTCGTTAAAAGGTCGAGCCATATATGGTGTAACAGGAAATAACACACACACACACACACACACACAAACACTCACTGAGATATTTGTGTAACTGCTTGTTGTCAATAAAAGAGATGACGAGGGAGGTCAGGTTCGGAGTTGGCTGAGGACCTAGTTAGTGCTCCTGGGACACAAGCTTTTCAGAAGCTAGAAAATTTGTTTTCTAGCACAGGCAACTGTGGTTAGCACACCAAAAGGTCCAGAGTTCGACTCCATCACCTGGCCGGGCCTTTCTGCATGGAGTTGGCATGTTCTCCACGTGTTAGGCATTACTAATCACTTTGTTTGATTTCTGACTTCTAATGTGTTCATACACCTAGTAACTGATTAAAACAGGAGAAAAAAAACCCCAAGCCATTTAAGTTAGCAGGAATCATGTGCTCTGATTCTTTTTTGTAGTTAAACTCTTGCTGCTGTTGCTGCTGCTGACTGTATTCACAGCAGTATGTGGCTTTAACTTGTTTCCTGCTGTCTTCTTATAGGCATCTCTATTGCAGCCTACTGCTGTCATGGGGCGGCTGTGTGAAGGCAAGAGAGGACCCAAATCCACGGCTCTAGACACACGGGGATGAACTCAAAGGCAGGTCTTTATTAACAGGAACATAAGAAGTCATACAAAACTATACTGGGAGAAACTAAAGCTGAGGCGCTGGGAAGACATGGGAAATGCACGCAACACGGAACAAAGGGATACTTTGACATAAATACACAGAAGGTAATGAGGGAAGTGGGAACACACGGGGAACGCGGCTGAGGACAATTACTCGTGACAGAGCGGGGAGGACACGAACCTGAAAATACTGACACCAAGATGTGGACCTTGAACACAACACTGTACACAGAGATGAGCACAGAGAGAGAGGCAGAGAACAAGGATGAATACACGAGGGGATGAGGAGAACACAGAACACAAAGGACGGGAACACAGTACCAGAACAAACACCACAATAACAGCATGGACACAGACCAAACCAAACAATCCCATGAACATAAGGAACAAAATACAAAACCACAGGAAAACTAAGAACACTGGGTCAAAATGACCCAGGACCATGACAACTGCAGTAACATACTGACATTGGATTAAAGCCTCATATTTCTGCACTTTCAAAAATTGAAAAGATGCGATCAGTTGGAGAACCACTGTGTTTTACTCGTGCTTTGTACTTCTAGTGTTTTTTTTCCTATTCTCCCCCATTCCCCCATTTCTTTTCCTCCTTCATCTTCTCTTTATTACTTCTCCTCCACCTGAGAGGAATGAGAGGGGGGGCGCTGCCCTTGCGGCGACCAGCAGTTTGTGTCTGTCAGTGTTTTAACTTGTTTTATTTCATTTTTAAGTTATGCTTTTTATTTTTTGAGCCTGAGGAAATCCTAAAGCATTGGCTTGTGCTTTGTGGAACTCTCTTTTTAATGAAGATGTTTTTTTTTTAAATTTCGCATGGTTTTATTTTCAATCCTGACGGTTGTTTGGGGTCATTGCTACTCACAAACAATTACATACTGTAACAGCAGTCTGGCGAGCAAGGAGCGGCTAGCAGCGGGCATGTGGTGTGGAGGTTAGCCGGAAAACTCAAAGCCAGTCAGTTAAATTAAACAACAGACCTTTATTCATTGTCAGCAACATAAGACCATTCAAGCCAGGTCTCCACGGCTCTATTCTGTCCGTACATATACGTGCGGGGATCGGTAGTTGCCGGCGCCAGCCCGTTACAATGGTAAGGTTTCTCCTGAGAACGGAACATGAGCAGCGTGTAATGGCTGCAGCTCTCCTGCTGCCAGCCGTACACATGAACACCAAAAACAACAACAGCACAAGCAGCGCACAGGTTTTAAGCCGGCGAGGCATGATTGTAGATGCCGTGAAGGTGAGTCGATCTCACCTGCAGCGGCATCGCAGACCACAACCCGCCACAATAATAAAGCTTTTTTTTTAATTTAATTATAAATAAATTATTTCTCCTAATTATGTCCTGGGTTTTAACTATTTAATAATAAAAAATGAAACATCACAAAAACACTTAAGGTCATTACAATTAATTGCAATTTAGCAATTTAGCATCCACCTTATTTATTGAAAAGTATCGGTAGTGGTATCGGCGATACTGGCCCGTATTTACTTGGTATCGGATCGATACCAAAATGTGCAGTATCACACACCACTAATACTCACACACCCACTAGGAGACTCCCACAACTACTACAATAAGATAAGATAAGATTACCTTTATTAGTCCCACAGGTGGGAAATTTGTTTCGTTACAGCAAAAGTGCAAAGTTATGCAGCAGAAATTAGAAGACACTGGAATGGAATAAAATAAAATACTATATACAATAGAATAATATATACGATAGAATAAAATAGAATGCAAATGCTATATACAACTGAGTGAGAAAATACAAAAGTACAACTTTGTCAGAAAAGAGTATTGCACTTAGTCTTATTGCACATGTGTGTGTTTGATCAGTTGAAGTCTTTGTTGTGGAGTCTGACAGCCGTGGGGAGAAATCTCTCCGTCCCACATTGTGGGTGCCGCAGCCCCTGAAGGAGTTGCTCAGTGCTGTCAGAGTCTCCTGCATGGGGTGGGAGATGTTGTCCAACAGGGATGACAGCTTAGCCACCATTCTCCTGTCACTCACCACCTCCACTGGGTCCAGAGGGCATCCTAGAACTGAGCTCCTAGAACAGAGCTGGCCCTTCTGATCAGCCTGTTCAGTCTCTTCCTGTCCCCAGCAGAGATGTTGCCGCCCCAGCAGACCACACCATAAAAGATGGCTGAGGCCACCACAGAGTCATAAAAGGTCTTCAGGAGTGGGCCCTCCACTCCAAATGACCTGAGTCTCCGCAGCAGGTACAGCCTGCTCTGCCCTTTCCTGTAGAGGGCGTCTGAATTATGAGTCCAGTCCAGTTTGTTGTTCAGATGAACACCAAGGTACCTGTAGCTGTCCACAGCCTCGATGTCCATACCTTGAATGTCCAGTGGTTGCAGTGGAGGATGTTTGTGCCTAGGGCAACCCTGGGGTCAAAAGCCACCTCAGAACGGACAAAACACAGAAGAAGATGCAGGTTTCACCTGCAGCGAGCATAGACACTGGAGAAAGGACTGCCCCAATTGGGGCCAGAACCAGGATGGGCAGAAATTTGAGCAGCAGCAGCAATGGTCGCAAACAGAGTGAAGGAGGAGAGCAGGACCCCAGGGCACGCTTCAGGCTGTGGTTTACCCAAGACACCAGAACAGGAAAGTGATGAACACACACACACATCTACACACACACTGACTCAGCATGACGTAACATACACATTTTCTATGATTGAGATTTAATTCCTGGAGGAACAAAATTCCAAAACAATATTGTTCCCTGAGGAAGAATAAAAATTTTCCTGTGAGTTTTCTGTTGATTTTTCTTAGCACTAGGTTTATTTTATCAGTGAGGTCTGGGTTGTTTTCTTTCTCTATGCTGTCCTCACTAAAGTTTGTTGCAGGCAACGTAATTTCAGCTATACAGCTAGCTTAACATTCTTTATTCCCAGCACTTCATCCTCCAAGAAACAGGCCGCTTGTTGTGTTTAGCAGGATTTAATGATGAAAATAAATTCTCTCTCTCTCTCTTTTGTAAAACTGTACAAAGAAAAGGAATACAAAATACACAATGAAGACATGTTCCATTACACTGGGAGAATAACATTGCTCTAGTGAAAAACACACGACCACAGATGAAGCATCTGCCTGCCTCCATATGATTTAACTCAAAACAGTGTCAAAACTTACTAATACACATTAAATGTATAGGAACTTACGGATGAAGCCGATATTGTGGACTTTAACACCAGGATTGCAGAGATTTCCATCAGATTACAAATGCTGTCACTGCAGCAGCTAAAGAGCACACTACTTCCTGTAGACCACATCCTCTACAAAAAAGACATTCTGCTTAGTTTCCACTAGGTGGTAGTAACACTTCTTAAACAACTATAATATGTCCGTTCCATGACATTCTCTAAGAGAGAGAGAGACGGTTTTATGTTTGGACATATTCTGGAACTAGCCCTAGTAGTTGTTATTTTATTATTTTATTGTTTACTTTTGTTTTGCGTTTGTTACAGTGCGCTGAGATAAGAAATCTGAGAGGTGTGATCCACCGGCAGTGATATTTTGTGAGTTCATGATTTCAGAATCAGCTCTCGTTTATCCAGGCCTGGAGGATTGAAATTTAATGTGCTATGAACTATTCTTACTGGAAACTGTCACAAAGTGTGCTTCTCCATGATTGTAATGTTCTTTGGAGAAATTCACTTATATGATGGGACACTGACCACATGAGATGGTAAGTCCTGAGTCTAAAAGGATTGCAGCGAGTCAATCCAGTCCAAAATCATAAAGAATTGTTTTCCTTTTAAAAATCTGACGTGATCTTGCTGTTGAGGGAGACTGGAATAGGTTGCACGTGGGACTCCATTATCAACAATATCTGGTATGGATATGTGTGAATGAATGCGTGTGACTGGACTGTGATGACCACGTAGACTAAAGTTTTGACTGACTTGATACTGAGATGAAGACTGCACCAACTTTAGGATTAATAAATGTTGACAAACAGCCGGTAAGAAAATTTAGATTTAACCCTTTGGCTGCTAATTTTGAGTTACTGATTTTTTGCATGAAGAAAACTGTGTTTTATTGGCTGTGTTTTGATTAGAGTATCACATTGCATGGTTGGGAACTGCAAAGGAGGGGACTGCCACTCTCAGTGTGGAGGTTTCTAAAAAAGACGAAAGTGTAAATGTCGTACTTTTTCAGAAAAAGGAGGGAGATTGGACAACATGGAAAATGGACAAGAAAATCAGTGGAAAATCAAAATCAGCATACTTATACAGCTGCACATCACCTATGGCACGTAAGTAATCAACATGGCTGAAGGAATGACATTAAGGAAACATCAACAACATGACTGCAAAAGAAGCTGTTGTGGACATCAGATTGACATCAGATCTATAAACTGAGCCACTGGTACATCCAGATCTTGAGAAAGCTTGCTGTGGTTAATTAGAGCCTTGAAGGAAACATCACACAATCTGCCTTAGCTCAGGTGGCAGGAATTTTGTCTCTCACCAAAGGCAATACAACTTTCAGGAGGAAGAAGGAGTAAAACATCTATACAGACTCAGCAGACCTGACAAATGAATGCGCTAACAGAGGAGTCATCACCATCATTTGACAGAAGATGACATTAAAACAAAGAGGCAGGAGCCTACAAGATCAGTGAGCGGATGGAGAAACAAACAACACAGAATAGTGGACGTACATGGTGAGAGATCAAGTTGCCCCAACAAAACTTGGTCAACTATTGTTAAAACCACCACGTGGTCCTTCACATGAGAGCAGAAACAGACTCAGAAGAACATGGAAGGCCTGTAAGTGACACCCACACATGGAAGAGATGGTGGAAAACTGTGTGAGCGCAACACCTGTAATGAATACGACCCAAAGCAGCTGTATCAGTGTTTAAACAGGGAAGTTTACAACACTGGAGGCTCCTTTTGGGGACATGAAAATGGATTCTACAGACACGAGGAGCTGACAAAAAGACACCAAAGAACATGGAAATCTTCTTGTGATGGTGGACAGATTCACCAACTATGAAGAAGCAACACCCTGGAAAGAAAAGACACAAACCCAGTCATAAAATGGCTGTGAAATGAACTGATACCAAGACATGAAGTACCGAGAACCGTTAAAAATCAGACAAGAGATTCCACTGTAACAACGAACATCTGAAAGAAGTGGAGAACAAGTTCTGACATGATTAATCAGTGGAACATCTTACCATTCAGCTTCGCAGGCCATTGTAAAAGGCCAATTAAATATTTTACAGGAAAATCGCCAAAACCAAAACAATAACAAAGGGTATGATATGATTTGCCACGTCCAAAATAGAGCTGTGTAATTATAAACCCTGGTCCTATAGCACCCACTTGGCCACACCACCAGTTTTTCGCGACCAAAGGAGGGTAATTACAAATGTTCGAGGGAGGAATATCACCGAAAAGTGGGAAAGGTAAGCCCTGATGGGTGTGATAACACCATAAATGTCACTTATGGTCAAATTCTTAAACTGTGACACCAAGCATAAAATTTAGAGACAAAGAGAGAGTTCTAGATAAACATAATTTAGCTAACCCCGTAGGGATTGAGGGTGAGAATCTATACTATTTTGAAATAACACTAAATATAATGTTGACCATGTTGATTATGTTTAATCCAGTGTGCAGAGGTTGGCTAATGTGACCAGGGAATGTAATACACAGGAATGTCAGAACAGTCGGCGTTAAAGTCACCTTTCACAGTCCAGACTAGGATGGCGTTGGACATCCTCAGGATTGAAAAGGGTTGGTGTGATCAAGGTGTGGTTTGGCTAGTTGTATGTATATTTCAAAATCATACAGCTCTGGAGGGGCCAGTTACCAGGGCATGGAAGGATGACAGACATTATCAAATGAGGAGAAGGAATTTTCTGGGATTGAAGATCCTGTGGATGAGTGGTTGACTGATGCATGCAGAAAATAAAAGCTATTATTTTATCATTGACTGGTAACTGAGAATTGGCCATATTCACAGCTGTACTGACTTGTTGTGGACGCAGTCTGTTTCATGTTAAATTAATCTACGTGTATTTGTTGATGAGTAGTGATGGGTCGGTCGTGAACGAAATGGCTCTTAGAGCCGGGTCTTTGACGTGAACGACGCGAGCCGGCTCCTTATTGCCAGCCGTGGGGGTTTTTTTTCTTTCTCTCACCCTCTCTTTCTCTCTCGCACGTTTTTTCCGCTTCACGCTGGGAAGAGGGGGGAGTATGGGCTCAAAATGTGGTCATAAATATTTTGTAATTGTAAATCAGGATTTGTATGTGTAAAAAGAATTTGTGTGTGTGTGTAAAAAAGATTTGTGTGTGGACTTAGCCAAAAACAAACCCTGCAACCCTATTCTTCTTCCTTTAATCTGATTGGTCAATGTCATGTCAATCACAAATGTAACAATCCAATCAGAGAACAGATGCGTTTGGCTGTCGAAAGGGCACTTTTTTGAACTGTAGTGTAGAAGTGTAGAAATGTAATATACAGATATAAAAGATTAGAAATTAAAAACAACTTGAGACAAAATACAGCAGCACATATCCAGCAGGATAATTTATTATCACATCTTAATCATAACATTTGAGCTCACCCGTTTTAATAATCAAATTTAAATGGGATTTTAATTCAGCATTTGTAGAAATATTTCTGATTCACATTGAACATATAAGTCACAAAAAATCTGTTATAATTTAAAAAGTGACAACATATTTCACGAGTAAATTCTGCATCAATCCAAACTACCGAATGATGTAAAATTAAGAACAAATCATCCTAATGACAAGAAACGGCCAAATCCCTAATTCAAATTTATTTATCTTTTCGTGTATGTGATTCTAAAGATTCAGTGTGTTAAGTACTATAAATTTTATTACTAAGGGGAGCAGGAAATGTTACTTAGGTTCAGCCTTTAAGGATCTGTCTAGAACCAATGCTACACCTGTCATATCTAACTACTTTTAGATATGACATGGCATTCACATTAGTTTGGCTTTTGATCTATTAGCTGTGGAAAAATTACAATGAAAGTCTTTTCACACCCTGAAAATGGAATTTTAAGTCCTGACATCATGATAACTTTAGTTTGACTTGGAAAAAAGCTTCAATTGTAACATATTTATTTAATCCAGGAGTTTTCTTTTAAATCATTTAATGTCCTCTTAATGCTGCTGACATATCTGTAGACCTTCGTAATATTAACCTGAATATCCAAAGAAATTTAGAACTTTCTTAACAAAGCCTTGCTTTTCCGTCTTCTCCTTTCTTTCTTCAGATAATTCCTCCTCCGTTTTTGCAAGTTTGTCTCGTCGCGTTACCTTGGAGATAAGATTTGCTCTCTCCTTCATTGCCTCCAAAGATTTGATTCGAGCCTGGTAACCCTCTTTGGCCTCTGATTTTTCTCCTTCAATCATCATGTCAATGTACTCTGGGGTTGTCAGAGGGTTTGGCCTCAGGCTGATCTCTTGCAGTCGAGTTATACACTGAGCTGACTGATCCATGAGGGACACCATCATGTCCTGAAGGTGAACAATCTCTTCTTCCTGCCTCTCAATCAGTTCCTGAACAGTCATCTTTTCTTTATTAGCTGTTTCATACTTGCTTTTCAGCTCTTGCACTGTCTGCTTCTCTTTCACTTGAACATACTCCCAGCTGTATTTCTGATTGAAATGCACACTCCAAATGCATTTTCCAGGACAGACAGTGCACATGCCGTTCATATCCATTGATGCACAGCCACGTTTCTCACTATCTTGTGCTATTGCACATGGGTAGTGACATGTTATTGAACATTTCTGGCAGTTGGTGATGAATGCTCCTTTCTCTGTGATTGGTTTTTGGACTGGTTTAATAACATCCACCTCAATCTCAAAGTTTTCATTTGAAGTTATAACTGCTTCATACTCTTTGATCTTTTCTTTGGTTGTCCTAATTTCTTCAAGCTTTGCTAATCCAGTTCTAACTTGTGGCTGCAAACCTTCAATGGCTGTTTCAAGCTGTTTGCGCTCCTTTAAGACTTCTTTGGTCATTAGCAAGCTTTTGGTTTCCATTTTACCCAAAGCAGTGAAGAACTTCTCCATACTCTTGGCTCCCATCTTCCAAAACATTTCATCAAAGCTGGCATCATCTTCATCAAAATCCACTTCACAGTCTTTGTTGCATCTGTTGTCTGCAAATAATGCTGAGTTATTGAACTTGAAGTGAACCGGAAGCCCTAACTCATTTTTTGGACACGGGACTGCAGAAACGGTTATTGCCTCAAGAACTGGTGGTTCTTTGCCATCAGCAAATGTCACCAGCATTTCAATGTTCTCTGCCACATCTTTGCCAAAAATGGAGAGCACCGAGTCAAACACATATCTCTGTGTTGCTGTTAGTCGTGCAAGAGAGGCCTGAGTAACAAAACACACTGCATCAATCTCACTGACTCCATTAGGAGAGGTGAAAAGCCTGCGGATTTGCTCTGTGATCTCCTTGTCTCTTGCTACTCCTCTTGTATCTCCAAAACCTGGAGTGTCCACAATGGTCACGGAGAACGGGATTTTAAAGCCTTCCTGGTGGTGGATTTCATACACAGTGACTTCAGATGTCTGACTGTGAGCTTGTGAACTTGTTGGATCCTCATCAACTAACTTAAATCTGAAACCGTCGTTCCACTCTACACCAACAATGTAGTTGATCATTCCATTGATGAGAGTAGACTTTCCTGATCCTGTTGCTCCAAGAAGCATTATTGTGCGATTCTGCCTCATGCTTTCTTTGCCGAAGATATACCTCCGACATCCATCTATGTCCATATCGTTTTCTTCCAGGGGCAGTTTGTAAACTGAGGGCAGCTTTGAGTTTGTTTTCTTGCTGATATGTTTTAGGTACTCAGCCAGACGTGCAAATTCACGCTTTGTTGTGCAGACATTAACAATGATGCTTTCCTTGCTTCTTCCATCTACACCACAGTCACATCTGACCCTGACTGCATATTGTGTCTCTGACTGAAGCCCTGAAATGATGGCCTTCT